CAGGATTCAACGTTGGACTTGTGCAGTGAGAGTCTAGAGAAATTTTATGTTCCTTAGTGAATCTTATTATAGAAAATGTTACAAGTAGCACACCTCTTTAAGCTGTGTGCATGTTTTGTGTCCTGTGGGAGTGACGTTATTGTGTGAGTCTGTGGCAGTGCTTCTGGGAACAAATGTCATGTTCCTGGAGCTCATGTGGACTGAAGCAAATGACTCGCGTTCCATTTGCAGTGGGATCTAATATGCAGCCCTGTCACTCTGGGTTTGATCAGCAGCGTTTGGCGCTGAAATATTCCCCCTCTGTGAGCTGAGACAACGAGACGCTTCCTGTCCGTCGGAGAGTGAACTGAGCGCAGGGGTGCGCCGGTGTCGGAGTCTGCTGGCAGCGTGATGGGTGAGGGAGGGCCGAAGCATATGTTAACTATGCTTGTTGATTCACAGGCGTGTTGCCGAGGCCAAAATGTCTGTAAAACGACAGGTCATGAAAAGCCAATCTGCTCATGTTGAAGAGAGCACACAACGCTCTCTTCTGACTGTCTTAGTCATGGCGTCGTTTTTAAAGGCTTGAGCTCCCAGGCCTCTTTTTTGTGAATTAAATAATGCCTTCTTTTTAAAGTTTCGATGGGTGTATCATCTCCACTAAGGCGTATGCAGCAAAAGCCTTTCAGTAGATAATGAGAAACTCAAAGCTCTGTTCTGTCTGGAATCTGTGCTGTGGAGGGTGGCTTCTCTGTGATGTGACAGATGTGATTGTTTTTCTTGCTTCCCTCTAAAACCTGCTGTTTGCCTGCAGTGCAGTAAGCCTTCAGCGCTGTGCTCCCTGTGTCACGCAGGCGCTCGGGGTGGATTCGTGCCAAAACAAAAAGACAGGACTCACACTTTCACCTCACCTTTTCGGTTACCAGTAAGAAGGGGCAACATTTTGAAAAGCGTTTTCAAAGTTGAAAGTTGAAGTTTAGTTCTGCCCACTGAGGGGTCCTGCTATTGATTGACAAGGCCTGGTTTAAGCCTCTTACAACACAGAAACATAATTAAAGCAGATTTATTTGCGCCTAGTGAGGTAGGCTTATACCAACAAGTCATGTAAGGTGACTAAAATATATTAATATAAAAGACTAAGTGTCCATGACATTTTAAAGTGAAGAAATGGGGTGTTTACAAATGGGATTGCATACATTTTCAGGATAATCTCATCTAGTATGATTAATATAATTAAAAGTGGGAGTGTTTACAGTAAAGAAAAGTCCATTAACGTTTGATCAGGCTGTTTCACTTGTGCAGTCTGTTAACCTTGTAAGATTCCTGGGAATGCAAAGAAAGTGTAGCTGTGTGTCACATTTAAATTTGCAATGGCTGACATTAAGTGAAATATGAAGTTTTGTGCAATAAATGAAATTAACGAGACTTTGTTTTTCTCCCCACCAGTAATAAATACACGGGGGGGTTGTTGTTTGATTTCTACTGGATATTTTATGGTTGCACAGGTTTTAGGATCAGTTGTCAGGTGGGAATGGTGACAGCGTGGCTTTAACAGGTTTTTGTAAGGGCCCAGGTGAGCAAGCCTTTAATTTGCTGATGACAGGGAGAAATGAAAGGGCCGTACCCTGTGCAGTGAGAGCGCGCACAGCAGTGCCTTCTGAGATGCATTTTATTCCTCACCAAAGACATTGAAACCTCAGTTTCATTAACAGGTTTATGCTGTGCCAAAGGCTGTATTATTCTGAAGCTGAGCCTCAGGGAAGTGGGCCTTGAATTCTGTTCCAGTGAGCTGTACGTCTCCCAGCTCTCGCTCTGTCAGTGTGAAAGTCAACATGTTTTGTCCATTTCAGAACCATTTTAGTGTACTCCATGAAAACTCAAGAACAGGCAGGAAAAAAACTTCTGAGAAATCGTTTTCTTTAATGGATTTCAAAATTGTGAACATTTCCCATTCCTTGTCTTATCCCACTATCATCTTCATCTGATGAGTACCTTTCAACTCGTCCTGCTAGACACTTGTCTGTATTATATTGTGTATTGGCCACTTTAATTAGGATAATACTATAATAGTGCCTTTAGGAACTGCTTGCATCCATTTAGGTAATCTGCCACAAAGATTCTCCCACCATAGTTTGTCTGTTATTTCATCATAAATCCAGCTACTGTACTCAAGGGATTTTTACGGCTCACTTGAATCACATGTCACAGTATTTGAAACTAAAACTGAGCGATTTTTCAAAGCTGGTGGTTTCATTCATGTTTGAAGCCTGCACACCATTGCATGTTTTACAGGTGAACATCTGCTCTATCTGATGAGGTTTCCCTGTTCAACCAGTCAACCATTCCAGCAGCAGCTTCAGAAAAGACAGAGCCCCACACTAATGTGCACTTGCTTGAAAATACAAAGTATTGGATATCATCCCTCAGCCATCGCACCCCCTTCTGCCTTGAGGGTGAATGCTGTACAAGAAGACCTCTTGCTCCAAGCTGAAATAAGTTGCTCAATGTTAAAATCCAGGAGGTGGGTGTCTTGGGACATCGCCAAGTCAGCCTCACATGGCTTTTTACTGCTCTGTGTCTCTCCTCAATCAGAGCAGAGCAAATACTGCTGTTCTGAGCTGAAGCTGCCAGAGCAAGAAGGAAACTCCATCAATCCTGCAGCACTGTCCTTTCACGCAGGCAGCGTCATTTGTATTTGGTACTGCATGGCACACAGTGTTCCAGACGTGAGCATCTGCTTTTATCCAGAGAATGGGCCATGCAATAAAATTGATGTGCTTATCCAAAATCTGGTGTTTCTTCATCTGTAGCGATATGAATTGAGAGTGGTTTGTTTTCTGTCTCGTCGTTTTTATGAGTTCTCAGAATGGCTTGCTGGTTTCATACCTTATTCTATTTTCTCGTTTTTCATCTCCATGCTGACTTATGGTTCCAGCAGGAAGAGGTGATGGGGAGATTTGTCAGCCAGGTGGCTGGGGTTTAACCCGTGCAAGTAGTGTGTGCTAGACCTGGTATCAAGCAGAACGGTGCAGGTAGTTTCAGGACTAGACTCACCTCTTTTTATTAGGGTGAAAAATGAGACCTACCATTCACACCCCACCAATCAACATCCCTTCAGCTCAGTCCCTTTAACCTGCTCCTGCTCCTCTCCAACTCTTTAAAGCTATCAACTTCAAAAGTGGAGATGATTGAGTACAGGTGGGTGATTTTGATTGATGGGCACCTTGATGAACCTCGCACACCTTGAATGGGGTTTGAACTCCAGTCTGCAATACATTTCCCTTTTTTATTTCTTCTGTCCTTGTCATCTGAGTCTTCCAAAGCCATCTCTTTCTCCTGAGACAACTTACCTAGTTTTTTTTACATTGGGGTTAAGAATAGTGCCGGTGTTCTGAAATGGAGTGCAACGTGAAGAGTAGAAACCCCCTAATCGTCTTCATAAACTGCAGTGTTCAGGTCGATCACACACCCCGCTTCTTGGATTGTCTGCTTTGTGCTGGAGATCCCCATGTTTATCTGCAGGTGACTTTTTTTCAGTGATCACAAAAGTATCATGAGCAAACTAAATATATCACTGTGCATGTTTATCACTTTTTTCAGGAGATTTGATCATTTCACATCCTGTGTGCGGCACCTGAAGTATTAACACATTCAGGCTCTCATATGTCATTTTTTACAGTGTGCGCAGGGAAAATGTGTCAAGTCAGTGGAGATGTCATTTAATTGAGGTTGCTGTAAACAGTTTGTCATTAGTGTCGGTTTGATTTGGAAAGCTCTTAGCACATTGTAATAGGATTTTGATTATTTTAAATGATAGATCTTTTTGTATTTTAAAGAAGAAATCTGGAAATAATTAAGAGAAGATTTTAAGAGGAAATCTGAGAAAATCCTTTTTTCTTTCAGCCCACTTTGGCTACTCATGTTTGGGCAATTATTTTGCTCGTTTTGGAGAGAACGGTGTTGCTCTGTATAGAGTAGGCTATAAAGGAACATGTCAAGAAATATGTTCATAGCAGGTTACTTAGAGAAATATTAAGACCTACTGAGCTGCTGCTAATGTGCTGGCGAAATGAAAGCCCACAGCTTTCAGGGTTCATTCTCGGCAGGACTCTGCAAAGCTGGTGCTAATCCTATTTTAGTCCAGCATTGTTTTTCGTTTCACAATCGGTCTCCTTGAGCTTCTGTTTTACCTGCTGTAGCATTACAGAGTTCAAGAGGCCTGCCTTCCTGCATGCAGGGGCCAGTTGAGTCTGGTACACTGGGGTTGAGTTCCAGGCGTGGGGAGGGCGGACAGGGGTGTTGCTGCTGCAGCTGGCAGCCCTTTCAAAACACAGCAGTCCCCTGCAGTGTGCAAGAGTCAACTGGCTCAGTCTTGTATCTCTGCAAAAACTACATACTACTGTACAACTACATGAAAAAATATTTCAGCCCGCAGAGAGATCATGCTGTATACCGGGAAAAAAAAACATTGCCTTTGGAAAAATATTGGATATTGTGACTTTCTTTTTTACAAATAAACAGGTTTATCCATTGTCCTTGCTTATCACTAGAATCGGTGTACTCATAATGTAATGGTACATTAGAAAGGTAGGGTCAGTCTGGGCTTTGGTTGGGCTGGTGTATTTAACATCGCAGCAGGAGTATCTTGGAAGAAAAACTAACGCTGTTGTCATCGATGATGTTGGGGGGAAAAAGCTGTTTGTTATTCTTTCCAGAATGATGGACATTTTGTATTTAAAGATCACAAACTGTCTTTTAAGTTTGCTTTTCAAAAGTTTATAAACTCTTTGGAAAAGGAAAATTCAGTGGTCATTATTTAGCCAGCTGTTTTGGTGCTGCACTCAGACATGGTTTTAATCTGCTTGCTAGGAAACCATAGTGCATTATATTTCAGATAAGCCACCTTGTGGTAGGTAGATGGTCTGAGAGCATCATTACAGAGGTTTTCTGATTCACAGTAGTAGAGGTTGCTTCGTGAAGATTGCTTTTTTAACTTCATGCATGTTTTTCTGTTTCAACAGCTCTTTCGGGAAGTAAGGATAATGAAGATCTTGAACCATCCTAATATAGGTAGGATCAAACCTGTATTCTTCCATGTAATGCATGTTGGTCACCTCTGTTTTCCTTGTCCTTGCCTGTGTGGGGGAATTTGAGAAAACAAATGGCAGGAGCTTAACGCTTCAATAAAGGGGAACCACACAGTTCTTCCTTGATCATACTACATGACAACCTATTAACACGTAATAAGAACCCAGTTTACATCCTTGGAGAGAGACAGAAAGTACAGATTAAAGCAGGGAACTTCATTATATACTGTAAAGAACACCATGGTGACAAATTGTATGTTGCTGTGAGATAAAAGGGGTTGTCCTTTTTAACTATACGTGGTAGAGACTGTCCAGTTAACCTGGTACTGTACATGTTTCTGTCACACAGATCAGTGAGCTAGCTTTAGAAAGTATCTGCTGAGAGATGATGAGCTGGGTTTCGCAGACACAGTAGATCACATTCTTTGCACATCTTCAAAACTGGGACCTGCTTTCTTCACAACACCGTGTGAAGGTTCTGAGTTCTGGTTCTGAGCAGCTCCAGAGACACCGAGCAGTCGACTGGTAACACGGCTGAGCTGCAACAGAGGGCAGGCTGAAAGCAGACAATGGGGAACCCCTTCCTCCCCCAACACTGCCTGCAAGACCGTCACCTTATACAATATTGCTTAAAGGTTGCGAGATCGTTCTATTAATTAATTAATTCAGTGGGTTTTGTGTGAGAAAGACCTGCTCCCGACAGAACGGGCCAGTTCCAGTGTTGCTGTTTGTAAGGGAGCAGTCATCATTCTACTAAAGCGTGAGGCAAAACTGCATTTCACACTTCTGCAGAAAGTGCCAGTCATGGTTGCAAGGTGTAACATTAAAATTGACTTGATAAATGCATTGAATGTAGAAAGATGCCCAGATTACTAATGCAGTTTGTGGGAGTGGTGTGATTTAAATGCATCTGTTGAAAAGTGGGCAGATTTACAAATTAAGAAAAATAAACTTGCTGAACGAGCACACTTCCTCACAGCTGAATAAGTGTGAAATATAATTCTAGTATACTGTGAAGAAAAACTTTTCACTCTTCTGTTTAGTATTTTGTTCTGTTCTGTTGTTTTGACTAATTGATCATTCCTGACTGACATTGATACACTTGACCCACTTTGACTGCTACATAGGCCCTAAATCACCTCATTAGTGCGAGCTGACTGGGCACAGGCAGTGTTGAATCTCAGACTGGGTGAAAATCAAAGACAAAGGCAGAAAAGAACCAATATGCACCACTTATCAATAGAATCAATACATATTAGTGTGTGTTGCAGCAACACCACAGACGGCCTTGCAAGCAGTGGAGTTGAGTTATCTTTCATCACCCCCGTGGTGGATACATGTGCAGATGTGCACAGTGATGCACTAATCGTGTACAACAGACCGATTGCCGAAGAGGTCTGAGCGCGATGGCCTGGCGGGAGTGTCTGAGTCACGCTGAACTCTGTTTATAATGACTGTTTATAATGATGGCGTTATGACGGCACAGCTTTACACTGATCAAGTCCTGGAGCTGGCCTGGTGCCCATCCCGACCTCACAGCGTCCCAGCAGGAAGAAAAACACCATCTCATGCACCTCATGTAGCAACGGCTTTCTTGTGTGCTGGGAAGGTGACAGTACCCACCAGACTTGTCCCAGGGAACGTCTGTGGGAGGAGGTGGGACGACAGGTGGCACCTGGGGCTCAGATGCCAGTGGAAAGGCACACTCGATTTCCAGGCTCTGCGGTAGGAATAGGAGAGCATCATACAAGTCCTCACTTCTGCAGCCTGGCGGGAAGCGTGCATCGCAGATGTACAGCGCAGGCCACGCATGCTACTACCCTGTGACTTTCACAGTAGCCTATTGATCACTCCTGTTAATGATGAGAATCCTGAATCAACCTACAGTGTGTCACTTCGGTCCAGTACAGAGCATGGACACCCGTCGCAAAAAGATCGGCATTTTTCATTGGCAAAGAACTGTGTTGGACTGGCCATTTGTAGTACAAAATCTCAATAACTGTGCTGTTACTTTCTGTTTTAGATTACAGATTTGTATTCTGTAGTGTATTTTTTCCTCTCATATTATGTTTTTCTCTCTCTGCAGTTAAATTATTTGAGGTCATTGAAACAGAGAAGACACTTTATTTAGTAATGGAATATGCCAGTGGAGGTGAGTGGAAATTAATCAACAAAAAGTAAACTGATATGCAAGATCCTGCCACCAATGGGTGCTTTCTAACCCCCTAAATGACTAGTTACAATAAGTACTGCACATTGTTTCTCGGTATCGTTAAGAATGCAGACTGAGGATGGAAAAATAAACCGGAAAGTGAAAACGTGCAGCACATTCAGATCTAGATCAGATTCAGATTTCTGTGGATGTAATCATAAGGAGAGTTGAATGTCTTCCGGAGAAGCTGTCCAGACAAGCTGTGTAATGGTTATAGCTTCAGGCTAGAAAGATTCATTTATTTTTACTCTATTGCTCAAGAGCTTGGTAGTTGTAAAGCAGGCTGGAAAGGAACTTTAACCCCATTTAACTCCAGGAATTCAGGCACATTGTGGACTTCATTCCTGTATCCCAGTAACCTTGACTGATTTTACTTGGTTTTTAAATTTAATCTAAGAAAATGCTTATTTTTCTCAGTCCTGGAGATGCACTTGTAACCTCATGTCAGTCCTTGATCCTTTAATGGCTCAGTGTGCTCCACTGGGTTCAGATAGATATTGAAAATAATATCTAACAAGTTATTTATGTAACTTGTAACAGTAAGTATGTCTCTCCCTCACAGGAGAAGTGTTTGACTACTTAGTTGCACATGGGAGGATGAAGGAAAAGGAGGCCAGAGCAAAATTTCGTCAGGTGAGGTGGTGGTTTTTCACTTGCTCCTACTATTTGGTCGACATCATTAACCAAGGTGACTCATGGTTATACATGGATTACAGTACAATCTCAAAATCCCATAACCATTCTGTAAATATAGATTGTACACAGAGAATTTAGCTTTAATGCATTATTAAAATGAAGAGAAATAGAATCTTAAAGTGGCACTGTGTCCTGTAGGTAAATGTGCAAAATTTTAAGAACTGGAAATAATAAAAGAAGCACAGTGCAAAACTACCGAGCGAAAATTGTTAATGAGCTACAGTTAACTACTTCAATTACATTAACGTCCAATGTACATTTCTTTTGCTGTTTACAACCTGAAACTGATTGTTCAGGTCGTAATCAAAGAATGTGGATTTCTGAACCAAGGTGCTGGGAGCTCCTTGCTCTTCAGAATTATCCCCAGGCTCTAGTGCTGCGAGAAACAGTGGGAGCTCAGACCGCAAGGGCGTCTAGCTCCTGACCGGAAGGTCCCGGGTTCAATCCCAGGTAGGGGCAAGCAATATCGCTTGCTCTAATTCCTTCCAGACGGCTCCCAGGTTCACTCAGCCTGCTTTCCAAATGAGTACCGGGGGTTAATCCTTCTGGGGTTAATAGGCTGGCCAGACCGTGATGCTGACCAGTGTCAGATGGTCAAGAAATATGGTGGCCCTTACCCCCCATTCCCCCATGGGACTTTATGGCCTGAAAAGGGGACCCTACCTACCTACCCCTCTAGGGCTGTGAAAACAGACTCCAGAAATGTGAATTAGTCAGTGATGTTAACCTTTAAGATAAGTCCTTGAGACACAAGACGCAAGGAATATGAAGCGCTATATGTTTTACTGTTACTGCGGCCTGTAAAGCTAAGAGGCTGGTTGATAATACCTTTTTTTGTTTTCAAAGGGGTGGGTCCACATGTTCAGTTCCATTTAAGTTAGGAGAGTATAACACTGTCGGCGCAGCCCTACCAAAGCACTGCACCCGTTCAGCAGAACCCGACACTCTGGGAGAAGAGGCGAGAGATAAATGAGGCAGACGGACCGCATGACGCCCCTGTCCTGCACAGGGCTCCCCCTGGGGCAGGGGCAGGGAGCGGACAGCGCCGGGTTGCGGCTGCTGTTGGCATCAGTGCACATCAGTAGATAAGAACAGTGTGCAGATCTCGGTTCAGTCAACGCTGCGCCATACGTGTTAGAACAAAGCCTACAGTACATTCAGGATTCTTCTGCAGTGTCTGCAGTTGTCATCCTTAAATCCTGAATATATCCATACATTTCCAGATCTCTGGTTATCACTAATATATTGCATTTTAACATACCATTACCTTTGTACCTTTGCACTTTTGAATTGCTCACTAGCACCCTTCGTGCCAAACTGGTATACCAGTGTTATTGGTATTACTCTGTGTGTGCACTGCTTTCCCTGTGGTCCTCCTTTTATGTCTATATGACATTACAAACTAAATCAAGACAGCCTATTCTCCTGAACTGTATAACTCGAACTTTTCCAAGCCATCAGGGAGGCTCTGTTGAAACAGATGTCATCTCTGCACACTGTGCTGACACCTGGTGGCAACCCCATCTTTTCATTGCTTTCTGCACTGTGTCAAAGATCTTTGGTAAAACCATTTAGCTTTTCTGAACGCATTCAAGCCTTGAGAATAAAGAGTGAACCTTTTTATCGTTTTTTCTTCAGGGGACAGCTTGTGTATCAACCCCCTGTAGGACTTTTAATTCATATGATTTTTGTCTAGAGTATTTGTCTCCGTTACGATAGGCTAAGGAGCAGGACTTATGAATGGCTCCGCTGGATTGCTATTTGATTTGTGTCTGCATCAGTGCTGAGAACATTTGTTTTTTTTTAAATAATTAAAGATCCATAACGTACAGATAAATTGAACCCCCCTTCGCTGTTTGAAGGTGGCGATGTGTGTAATTAAAGAAGCACATGGTGTCACACTGCCACCACTTATTGTCTTTTATTCCAGGACAGAAAACATCTGTATGGGGGAAGGCTGTGCTGAATTTCTCTGTCAGTTGTGCTCAGTCTGTCAGTCAGCCGTCCAGCAGGGGTTATACTCCTGTTGACCGTCTTCTGTTCTCATCATCAGATCAAGTTGTTGAGACTGTTGATATCTGGTAGAATAGATCGGGCAGTCTAATTCCATGGCAAATACATGTCAGGTGCTGGCGTCTGTTGTTGATCCCTGAATCTTAAACGAGTTCATTTGCTAGAACATGGTAACTAATTCTTGCTGAGGTCAGTGAGCACTCATCTTATCATTGACAAGGAGACGGTTTTAGCAAAATACATTTACTAGGCATGATCAATAAATATGATAGAAAGCTGTTTTCTGTTTTAGATGGGTGATCATGGATGCTGTTAAATCAATCTCCAGGGGGGTGAGCCCCACTCCAGCAGGATACAAAAGCTGCCTTGCAGCTCCCAGTTATAAGGGATTGGAAAAAAACATTTGCAGTCAGTTGCTGATAATGTGTTACAGATCATGCGGTACACTGTAGATGTTCAGCCCTGAAAGATAAGCGTTCTTTTAATTGAGTGAATTACTTGATTAATTGAATAAAAACTTCCCAATTGGGTGTTCCTATCTTTTGAAATGAACGATTTATGTAGGAGCTATAATATGATCTGGGCCAGGGGTGGAGTCCCCTGGTGTAGCACATATAAAGCATTAATCCAAATAATAATGAATTTACATCACGCTAACTGCTGTTTCCCTGTTATTAATTTCCAGCATTGCTGTTACACACTCTATCAACGTATTTTCTGGGAAATTATCTGTTTTGACATCCTGGGAGGAACTGTTCCCCCACATTGATTGCAAGAAAATTGCTTTTGCACAGTCAGCCTATGCTCTCTAATGAGGCACTGGGCTCAGATGACTGTGCAGCAATGCAGGTTTTCTGAATGTGCCTGATAAAATGGAAATGGATTGGAGAAATCAATAAAGCCAGAAGCAGCAGGGTGTGAAACATGCAAAAGATAAAAAGCATAAAAATAAAATCTCTCACTTGAGCATCCTAAATTAATAAAACATATACGTATCCTGTAAATCTGTCTCATTTCTTATCCTTACTCAACATAACGTTTAGTTTTATATTGTAATTCTGAATTATATTGTCGTCCAAATTAGAGCCACTGTTATTTTAGGGATTGTATTTAAGAATGCCTAAGTTCAACGCTTTTTGTTAAGTAATCATGTATTACTGTATGTAAACAAGTCAAATGTAGTAATAATAAGAAATAAATTGCTGTTTGTTTTTTCCAGATTGTTTCTGCAGTGCAGTACTGTCATCAAAAACGGATTGTACACAGGGACCTGAAAGTAAGTGGCTCCAAAGGTCTATTTTGTCCGTCAGTGTCGTTGTCACCTGAATCATGTAGACTACAGCACAATCCTGGAGTTGCCTTGGGGATGCAGCTTAGCTTGGCAGTAACTCTGAAACATGTTGTGGCATCACAAGCACAGATCCGTCTTCCACACGTGAAATAAAACTTTACCTGTTCCTCTGCAGCCTACGCATGCTGGCAAAGCTCCCTGCTTGACCCTGTTCTTAACTGTGGCGTGCACATCTCTGAGCTTCCACTCCATTCGTATGGCTGCTTTGCTGGGTCGAGCTGTCCCCTGTTCCCAGTAGTTTAATGAACAAGGAGTGGTTATGACCAATCTGTCACTGACCTTTTACCTCACAGCTCAATAGAATTAGCTCTTAGTAACAAGCTGCTTTGTTAAATGGTTTTCTCCACTGGCTTTGAATACCGTATCTATCAGTGCTTTTGACTGACGCCTTCTCCCATCTGCCTGCCATTAACAGTAAGAACCGCAATTAACATTACATTAGCTCTGGATTAGTTATTATAAAGTGCCATCTTCATTTCTGTCACTTACACTGCATGCACCATCACCCCTAGAGCACGGACATGCGTGTTTGACATTTTTTCAACTTGGTGTTTATTTAAAGATCA